CCACCCACCAGGCCACGGACCGGTACTGGGCCACACAACATGAGCAAATGATATTAAAACCACACACACACCACCAGTTCATGGAAAAATTATTTCCCACAAAACCATTTTCTTGTACCAAAAAGATTGGGGACCATTGTTTCAGATGATATATCTGAAAAGCAAGAGCCAGGCTGGGGTTAAGCCAGTGTTGAACTGGTACCAAGGAGGCAGAAATTCCAGTCTCCTCTTAACCATGGAAAATTCCTGGATGACTCTGTCCCTATTCCACAGGGTTTGTTTTGGTAGAAGAGATGCTGTGCATGCTGTCTTGAGCTTCCGAATGAAAGATGGAATAGAAATTTACTAAATTAATGAAAAAAGAAAACTTCTCAATCTTTATCTCCCAAAACCACACATTCCCAATTCTTTCAATTTCCCTTAACAGGAAGATAATTTCTCTTATCATCCACGTTGTCCTTCTTTGAATCTATTTTTGTATCATATTCCTAAAGTACGGTGCCTGCCCAGAATTGAATATAATATTTGGGGTGTGGGTCTGGCCAAATCAGAAACCAGTGGAATTACTACTTCCCTTGATATGGAAATTATATTTTTATTGATGAAGTTTAAGATTATATTTGCTGTTTTACCAGGTACATCCCTCTGCTGATTCACATTCAGATCGTAGTGTTATTCAAGTGTTATTGCCAAGCCAGGATCCCCCATCTTATGCCTATGTATTTCATTTCTATTTCTTAAGCAATGAACTTAAGAAATGCAAAGTTCATTTCTATTTCTTAAGCAATGAACTTAAGAAATGCAAAGTTCATTTCTATTTCTTAAGCAATGAACTTTGCACTGACCAATGGGTCTGTGGGATAAAACAGGAGTTGAGCTATCAAAAAGTCAATTCTGCTATTTTCAGTGAACTCCTCACCTATTAAGTTGTTATTTTGTCTTCTAGGATTTTAGCTTCATAGGCAGAGTTTTGGAATGCCTGGGGGCTCTAAAGGAACATCTGCATTAGAGTCAGTTAGGGATTTATGGTTCAGGAGGAATCAGTCTTATTTTGCTTTATACTTTGGGAGCATATCTTTGTCAGTTTTTGTTATTTAAAAGCCAGAAAGAGTGTTAGATTATATTTCAAAACACTAGGTTTCCATTAGTTACCACAAGAGATAGCCAAGAGTCCGCCACCCTACTTTCTCTTCCTTGTTCTCCACCACTTCTTGGAATGAGCATATGAAATCAGTGCACGCTACAGAAATAGGAGCATGGATGTTAAAGAATTAGAGTTAAAATGACCCTTCATTGCAAATAATCAATCCTATCCTTTCTGAAGCAATTTCACTACTAAAGACTGAGGTGATATACAAGTTTACTGATAACATAGATAGTTAGATGTAGCAGACCTGCTTTTGGGGCTTTTGATTTTAAGGAAGACATAATTATTCACATTTAGAATCATTTGATTATTCCCAATCTTACGAGGTACAATTCTGATTATCCCCAATCCTTAGCCAGGTTGAGTTAAAATATTTGTATTCTGATAAGACCTGAAAATGGGTGGGAGAAGCACAACTCTTGCCCATTCTTGATTTATATTCTTCTTCTAAAGATGGTGGGGTAATGGATCTTTTCCTAAAGTTCTTATTTGGGGGAAGAGAAATGATGCATCTGTTTCTTACTCCTAGATTACGTATGAACCCAATGACCCAGCTGCCAGGGCTGCATGCTGATCCTGCTGAGATGGAACTGCCAGAGAATGTGTCTATATCACAACTTTGGCGCAGCTGTAGGTTAATAGACAACCAGGAGGAAGGCTGCATGCCGTGAAGATGAAATGGTGTGTTTCAGACCTAACGGGACTGTGGGATAAAACAGGAGTTGGGCTATCAGGAAGTCAATGGCACAAGGCGATACAACATGTTAGCAAAAAGATAGAAAAGCCACCCAGGGGGAAGAGAGGGGAAACAGCCTAGGGCAGGTTTATATTCATTTCCTTTGCCAACCTGTCTAAGGTCAGCAAATATTGCAGACCATAGAAGAAAAATGGATTGAGAACAAAGAAAATGAAAAACAGGAAGACCAGAATAAACTTCCTGATGCGTTTAACTAAAACTATTTTTCCCCATTTTTCAAAACAACAACAATGATGAATTTGAAAAGCCTAAAAAGGTACTATTCCTATTATTACAACTGCCACCATTATAACAACATAGTCTCAATGGCCTACAATCTTGTTCTGTCCGTGTATTTTGAATGTGTAAGTGGTACGTACTTGTTGAAATAAAATTAAAACAAAATGAAGGAGGATGACTTTTTTCTTATTATTTCAGTGAAGAAGGTTAGAATGAGTTCAATAAATAAATAATAAACAAACAGATAAATAAATAAGCAATTGACAAAGGAAGGAGTAAAAAGGCAAGTAGAATGAATAAAAATGCAATCTTCCTTCCTTCTTTCCTTCCTTCCTTCCTTCCTTCCTTCCTTCCTTCCTTCCTTCCTTCCTTCCTTCCTTCCTTCCTTCCTTCCTTCTCTCCCTCCCTCCTTCCTTCCTTCCCCCAGGAACTGTGGTGGCTCACTGATTAGAATACAATATTGTAGGCTAAATTCTGTTGACTGCCAGAAGTTCAATTCTGATTGGTTCAAGACTGACTCAGTCTTCCATCCTTTCGAGGTTGGTAAAATGAGGACCCAGATTTTGGGGGCAATATGCTGACTCTGTAAACTGCTTAGAAAGGGCTGTAAAGTACCATGAAGCTGTGCATAAGTCTAAGTGCTATTGTTATTCCCTCCTTACCTCTGTCCCTCCCTCCCTCCCTTTTCTTTCTTTCTTTCTTTCTTTCTTTCTTTCTTTCTTTCTTTCTTTCTTTCTTTCTCTCTCTCTCTCTCTCTCTCTCTCTCTCTCTCTCTCTTTTTCTTTCTTTCTTTCTTGAACTAAAGCATTTTGGGGGAATGATGAATTCTGTAGCTGAGCTGATGCTCTCTCAGTTTGGTTGTTTGTCTGCAGACATTTCATTTACTGACTAAATAATATCAGTGTGTGGAATTCAATCCGTTTCTATATAGCACAGCAGCTTGCCCTGCCACTGTTCGTGGGGGCATGGCTTTCTTCTTGGTAAGTTCCTTGATTAAGGTATTGTTTCCTGCTTGATTGTTTGTCTGGCGTTAATCCCTGCTTATCTGGGTGTTGGTTGATAGAGAATGCATTCTTTTTGTTTCCTTCTTACCTTCTTATTCTCTATTTTGACTGTTGTGTAAATGTGGTTTCTCTCTACGGGTCTATTGATAGCTGATCCATCTGAATGCTAAGTGTCCAGAAATTCCTTAGTGGTTTTGGATTCAGCTTGGCCTAGGACAGGGTTAGGGAACCTTGGCTCTTTTATGACTTGTGGACTTCAATACCCAGAATTTTTGAACCAGCCATGCTGACTCAGAAATTCTGGGAGTTGAAGTCCACAAGTCATAAAAGAGCCAAGATTTCCTACCCTTGGTCTAGGATGCTCAATTTGCCAGCTGAAACTATAGTTGAGTCTATTCATGTGTTTTGAAATTAAAAAGTTACAACACATGGTCAGACTGTCCAAAATACTTGGATTGGACAGATATCCACAACTCAGGGACAAACTCACAACACATGGACTGACTTATATTACTTTTTCTTTCAGTTCTATTGTTACTTTCTGCACTTCTTTTGGAGAACATAGAGCTCAGCCCAAAAAGTGAATGAGGGAACAAACTTATGCAACAAATCAAACTTTCTCAGATCCATTATGCAAATTCTTAAAAGAAATGTACCCTAGTTTCTTGAAGCAATATATCTATATATTTCACCTCATGATTAAAAATCTAGGGAGGAGCCTTGATTATCTGGAAGGATTTTAAAGGTGTCATTGAAATGCTGAGGTAGTACATTAATATAGTTTATATTGGATAGTGCCTTTAATATAGTTTATATTGGATAGTGCCTTTAAATAACTATTCCACAAAAAGAAGGAACTGTTCTAAACTAAGAAAGCAAAGCTTCCATTAACTAGCCACAGACAATTCAGAGGTCTCATGAATGTAAAGCATATCTTCATAAAAGCAAATTACAAAGAAAATGGCTTGCCAAAGGAAAATATGCAAATGTAAGTTTTAAATGCTGTTAGTGAAATCTGCATGGTAAAGCTGGCTTCACTCAGTAGAATGAGAGAAAAACATGACTTCACTTTGGGGCAAGGTTAAGAATGCGAACTATATCCTAGAGGGCTCAGAATATTACTTTTTAAATCTTTAACTCTACAAATCCAGGTGATTATAAAAATTATGTTTTTCCATATGAGTTTGCATAAGCTTTACTAACCACAAGAAGTAAAGTATTTGCTGTAATGGTAGCAAAACTCTGTAATGCCGTCTTTCCTGATACGTTTTTATGGATTTTGCATTTGTTTAAATTCAATAAAAATTTTCACCATCAAGTTATCTTGTTTAGTGTTAATTTTGGATAATAGTAACACAGATGCTTATAATAAAAGATCTGAGACTTAATTTAAATCATACTTTTGGATCTGAATTAAGGATCTATTTAATTAAACATACCCATCTATTTGATTAAACATTCTGAGGAACTAATTTGAAGGTGCAGGTAACAAAATAGATTCACTTTTCTAGAGTCTGTTTCCCAGTTTCACAACTAATCTTAGGTTACGTTCATACACTGTGCTAATATAGAGTGTGGTTTGTTTGACTTTTGGCTTTATCTGCCAAGGGAAAGCCAGCTAATACAATGTGTGAAGCCAATCTATTATGGCTTATTCTTATTTATACAAGAACGTATTTATATGATAAACCATAGCTTAACAATGGGGGGTGAATCAAGCCTATGTCTACCCAGAGAGAAGTCAAGTTGCATTATTTTCATAAGTGATGCCTACTTACAGAACAAAAATGTTGACAGAAGACAGAAGTAACTGTCCACATATCTATAAAGATTAGAAAAACGGAGAACAAAACTAGAGAAGTACAGGTCTTACAGTCAGATGTGATTTCATAAGGGGAATTGAGGCGTGCATCTCCACAAGGTGATGTGCTCACGTATAAATGGAACAGAATGTTCTCTTTTAGCCTGTAGCCTCCCTCTTTTAACTGCACAAAGATTGATCGTTCGCTGTCTTCTTGTTGTCTGCTAGGATCACAAAGAAAGGTTGCAGGTTATTTTTTTACATTCCAAATCAGAACTAATTCTTTTCTCCCTATGGATTAGCTTTCAGACTTTTCGTCAAGTTCTCTTTATAGTATTTCATATAATTTCTCTCTAGCAAATGATTTTAATGAACTCTACAATATCACAGGGAATTAAAAATCTTTAGCAATCAAACTAATACACAAGTCAACGAACAAAAATATCTCATAAGAAATGTCAGAAAATATGTCATTATTAAAACAATTATGGGTCATAATCACTTCTGTATCATAACATGCCTTTTAAAAGACAAATAATACAAAATGTAAATGTTGAATGTGTTTCAACAGTCTATAACAACAGTTAATCTAACACAACCAGAACTGTTTGCCACTCATTTCAGCTTTAATATAATCTATAGAAGCATTACATAGTGACCACAGTTTTTTGCAAATTCAGTGAAAAAGGTTGATTCAAAGAGATGAGTGGTAATACGGTTTTCTGTTCCTTATTAACAATTTTTTAAAAAATATTTAAGTAGTAGATGGGAATTGGGAGGGTGTAAATAACCTAAAATGTCTCCTTTTCTGCTTTTTAAAAGACTATGATAAGATCACTGATAATTATTATTTTTATGAATAGACTGATAACAGCAATGTTCAAATGTCACAATGAATGACAACCAACAGATTCCCATGATACTAATGAGCGCACCTAGACATCAAGTACATGCCACAATGATGTCATTATGATAGCAACATTTGCCATGTGGGTCTTCACTTGTCCCCTTGTCTATCTCCTTGATGCCTATAGACACCTATAGTTGGAGCATATGATAAAGTACTTTTCTTTGTAGGTTTATCAAATCTCAAGGTCCAAAATGAGGCATATGAGCATGCTTATTTGCATACTTTGCATAATATTTGCATAGTGTTTTCAGTCATTCAGCTTCAAAACATCAGCCAATCTCCTGGGTTGAGTTTTACTATTTTTTGCCTTTAATCTCTTGCAATAGTTTTTTTTAAAGTTATTTTTATTCTGCTTATAAAGCAAATATTACAAACATAGCTCTTATGTGGAGCTGAATAGGATATCCAGAACACCGGGGAAAAAACACTCTTTGACAAAAAAGAGCATACTGTATATGTTTGATACAGATGATGGGTTAAAGCAGGGGTCTTTTATGACTTGTGGACTTCAACTCCCAGATTTCCTAAGCCAGCATGCCTGGTGTATGGAAGGGAGCAAGTGTGAAAAAATCAAGATAGTATCCAGAACTTCCAAATACTCTGTAAAATAATATGATGGTTTATTTATCAGATACTAGAGACTTGAGATTTCTCATGTGCTGACGCTAGAACTATACAAAGGTCAAGACAAAAGTATAGAAATATATTCTTTCACTCTCAAATCATATATTTTTTCTCTTGTAACTTTCTCACACTCATGCTAAGTAAGTATTTTCTAGGACGGCTATTGTTCTTGCTGGTTCTAAACATAGCTAGAATATTTTTCTTCTTCCACAAGGCCAGTCAAAAATCTCAGCAACATCTTGCATTGCATTTTTGACCAGCTTGTCTCTCAATTGAAACCCTACCACCTTGTTCTAAATGCACAAAGTCTGAATGCTGTTAAAACCATTGGACTGTCATTCTTCCATGGTTTGCTTGTTTTTTATGCTATGATGCATTTTCTGTTGAGGATAATTTATAGTCACATTTCCCTCCTTGACAGAACATTGAGGCACTTGAGAGAAGGTAGATGCATGCAGCTGCCTCATTTCCCTACTGTTCTTCCCAAAACCTCCCATCCAGTTTATCTACATTATCACCTTGACACAAACCTTTAGAACAACAACAACAACAACAAAAAAAAAAACACCTGAAGATTTTGCCTCTCCAGGATTTAAAGCAAACAAACTCATTTCGAAGTAATGTAGATGGTTTTCACTTGGACAGTCCACAAAGGTTCCCTCTCATTGTTAAGTTAAAGTGGAAGATTCCTGATAGTGGTTTATTAGCCTGGATACAATGGGATCTTTCAACCTGGTGGGGAACTTTTTATGCCAGGGTTCAGCTCCTACTGTTGCCCAATATGTTTGATGTCAGAAACAGGGCTTTTTTTTCTCATAGAACGCCCAGAACGGAGTTCCGGCACCTTTTTTGGATGGAACCTTGTAGGGTAGGCAAGGCAAGTTGTATGATGTGTGTGAGTTCTGGTACCTTTTTTTTTTTAAGAAAAAAAGCACTGTCAGAAATTAAAAATGAAGTGCTAATCCAAGCAGTAGGTTTCACTTAGAGACATTGTCCAAAATGGAACTTTGAACCTTTCTTCAGTAGTCATATTAGATATTACATTTATTTAAGATAGAAGATGAATGAATGCATGGCCAGTGGCTCTACCAATCAGCTTTTTTTCTGTCACCTTCTAGAATTCTAGGAGTGGGGAGGGAAAGGAAGAGGAAGAGTAGGACCAATGGTAAGAAAATGAAAGAAAAGGAATCCCAAACAAGAGCAGATGCAATTTCTGCCTCTAGTCCATCTTCCTTCCAGACATGTAATTGTATAATTTGCCTTGAAGTACTTCTCTTTTGATATGGACAATGTAAGATGTTTTCCTCATTTCAGCAATAATTGTCTGGGAGACTATTTTTCTGGTAAGAATAAGGTACATTGGACAAATCCTAAAATAAATGCATTGTGAATTAAATTAATCTCTCACTCTGCAATACTTTGACTTTTGTATTTCAGGATGAATTATGATTCTCTTTCTCAATTTGTTTGTGTGTGTATGTGTGTGTGTATGTATATATGTATCTGGGTTAGCACAGGAAGAGCTTTGACTCCTGGCTAAACAGAGAGTCATCTGGATGAGTTTTTGAGAGCAGAATTTTCTGCTGCTGGGAGAATTCCACCACAAAACAACACAGCATTGATCCAAATAACATAATAACATAACTGAATGTGCTATGAAACTGGATCAATACATAAAAAACAATGATTGCAGTTTTATCCTTAGAGGCATGGATGCCATGCTTAACACAAAGCAAGCAGAGGGACTGCTAAATAAAGAAAATAATTTAATGTAAGCCCAGGATAGGGTTGAAGAGGGCTGGGCTGAGTGGGATTCAGAGGTTATGCAAGCAAAACAGTCAGATATGTGGACCAGCTTTGTTCCCTTTTTGTCTCATTGTTTTTTTGACTTATGCTTATCGCTTCTTTTATTACCATGTGAATTTCCAGTGTATTTATATCCAGTGTTATAAGACAGCCAGCTGGTTTTTAAATCCCTTTCTCCAAAGCAAAACCAAATGTAACCTTAGAGATATCACCTAAGGACTTTCCCATTTGATTGGACATTTTAAATGCTTTCATCCCCATTTGTTTCTTAGGTTTGCTGACTCTCAGTGGGCTGCTTTTATCGAACTGTATCTTGTGTGAAAAAATTATGTCTTTCTTATACTGTCCTGCAGGGGCATCCACTGGGTGTGTTTAAAGTCAAGATGGCCAGTACAATCAATAGAAGCAATGTACAAAAACCAGGCAGACTTTTCATAGTATCCATCTTGGATATTTTCATCTAGCAAAATGCCAAATGATCTTCATAATACCATTATTACACCAATTCTACCATTATGTATTTGTGTATTGGTATCTGATAGAAATGTGTAAGTTACAGCATTTGCATTATGATAGCATCATATGTGGATTATCATTTGTCTGCTGTGCCTTCTCAAAGACATCCTTTCTTGTTTGATAAAACTCAAAATAACATTGGTTGAACAAAGGATCCATCTAGGCACTAGGGCAGTGATGGCGAACCTTTTAGAGATTGAGTGCCCCAAAACTGGCCCTGTCCCTGCTCCACCCCCCCCTGCCCCACCCCTGCTTTGCCCCCCATCCCCTGTCCCGCCTGCCCACAGGACCACTCACCACCTCCAGGCCCGCTGCAGATCGCCCAGGCAGCCAAGCAGCACTATGGCAGCCACACCCTCTGCCCACACCCTGCAGCATCAACTGCATGATGGGGTGTAAGGGCAGAGTCTTATCTACGCTGCCTGGCTGCCATGTCCTTGGCTCCATGTGGCCCATGCTCAAGGGTGACTCTTTTTCAGGGGGGCTGCTGGAGAGAAGGGGGTCGTGGGGGGAGGCAAGGCTGGAGCAACAGCACGTGTACCCACAGAGAGGCCTCTGAGTGCCGCCTCTGACACCCGTGCCATAGATTCATAACCACTGCACTAGGGTTTATTAATATCAAGATTTTAAAGAGTGCATAGTCTTTGTATAAATGAGCTTTTCTAACAATTAGACTAATCCATAGTAGTTGAGAGTCAAGCATCAGACAAACCATGATATTTTTTGATACAAGGGATGTGAGATTAGAAGGAGAATGATAGTCCAAAATCGAACCATTGCTCAGTGGATCAGCATGGCAAGAAAGCTACACCCATAATATGACAGTGATTTATGAATTGTGACCATGGCATGACATAGAATCAGTATTGATCAGACTGCATACGAGCTCATATATACTTGTTCATCATTTGACAAATATAACATCCAGCAATCCAGAGAAACATATTCTTAATATAAAAAGAGTCCCGGGTTGACCTTCCTACATCACTAGATTTAGTGGAAACAGACTTTTCTTTGGAGTCTGGAGAGTAGACTATGCTAAGCTAGAAAAACCAGTTGCGTGTCTTCTTATATATAAAATAGCTTCTGCAAACTAAAGAGCTTTTTTATTGCTTTGTTGCATTTGAAATGCTTTTCTATGTAAGTAATCCACATATTCATAGGCAAATTACTAAATAATATTTTATTGAATGATATATATGAGCTTGGATTTATCTACTTGACATAATTATACGGGGAAGACTTAATGATACTATAATACATGATGTAATTTTACCATTTATATAATTACACCACATTGTGTCTTTTCTTACCAGTTCAGACACTCATGGTATTTAAAGTTCAGTTTCTCATATTGCCTTTTTTTCCTAATAGAACTAAAGCAGCTATGATATTAATTGTATTACTGTAACTAATTTAGTTAAATTTTCTTTTCCCTGTCATGGCCCTCCCAAAATAAACAAGGAAATCAACCAACCAACTCCTTTTCTGAAAACCTTTTGCATTTCAAGAGTAATCTCTATTGATGCTAGTGTAGACAATTTCTTCCATCATCATCAGCAACTATCCAAGAAAGTTTAGGGATACAGAGAGGAAGAAAACTCTTTCTCTAACCTGAACTTTGATTCTGCTATTTACATAATAAGCAAAAGCAAAATGCAATCAATCCTACAATTAAAGTCATGTCTAGCTTTAGACAATCTTTGTTGATGAACTTGAAACCTATCTTGGGGAAAAGCAAATGTGGTATTCCAAATGTTACCGAATTACAGTTCCCAGCATTTTCACCCAATCTGAGATAAAGAAATTTGTGATTCAGCAATAAATGGACTACTACAGGTTGCTTTCTTCTGGCCTCATTAGGCAGAAAAATGAAGCTGATGTCTCAACTAGCAGGAGGGTTAGGACCAAATTTCTAAGAATTTCCATCTGCAAAAGGAAGATGGACACAGAGAAAGAGAGAGAGGAATCACATTATGTCATGTCTCCATGTATGCAGTTTTGTATGACATTTGATTGAATATTTACTTATGCCTCCATATTCGAACATCATGTAAAACTGCATACATGGAGACATGACATAATATGATCTCTCTCTCTCTTTTTCTGAGAATTTAAGGGAATATACATCCTTTCGTGTCACACTGCTAAGCACCAAGATGTGGATAGGGCCTAAAGGTATACTATCTAAAATGCAATGCTACCTGAATACAATTCCCACTAGAGAGATTGAAATCCATAAAAAGATCTGGCCACAAATGTCTCATGATCTCAAAAGAGGAGAAATCTACTACTGTTCTGCTTCCTGGTAGTCTATCTAAGTCAAATAACGTGAAAGATACAAAGATAGGGTAGACTGGGTTGCAATAAGGCATTAACAGTCAAGAAGCATTTAAAGCAGATTAATGTTCCAATTGCTGTCTTATGCTAGGAATTTTTCACAGATAGAGGGGAGTATTATTATGCACTATTGAACTTGAAGGACTGCTATCTGTTTCATGTGCCATGTGCCATAAAAGAGAGGTCTTTTATGCCCACAAGTGCCTTAATGGCAAGATGGATACAAGAAAGTGTATTCATTGTAAATAGTTTTCCCAATATGATTCAGCCAAAGTGAAGGAAGAAAATGCCCATAATGAGAAGGTAGTTAGTTTTTCATTCTTAGCTATTTCCTGTTTTTATCAAGTCTTGATTAGTGTGTTAATCAGATACAGCCAAGAGGCTTTAAGAAACATGATTTTATTATGAACATCTAATCATTGCTGAAGGAAAAACAGGCCAACATAAAAGAGTTCTAAGCAGCCTTGTATCATTACATAGTTGTATTTTAATAGAGGAGGGAGAATCCAAAACAGGTTTCCTGAATCAGTGATGGTAAATTAAAAAACAACTCAGAAATTTGCATTAGAACCTTCTTATTTCCATCTAATTTAATCCAGGGTTCTCATTGCCTGAATTCAATAGATTGCTACTATGAACCCAACAATGCAATGTAGTTGCATCAATCTAAAATTAGTCCACTATCAGACAAATATGATGGTGGTGGATTGGGGTTTGAGGAAACTCTTATGCTACTGCCCAAGGCTTCCAAATTCAGGGATTGTCCACGCTTGGAGGCTACAATAATTAGTTTCTGAGCTCGTAGTATACTGCTCAAAAAAATAAAGGGAACACAAATGTATAGGATCCTATACATTTGTGTTCCCTTTATTTTTGTGAGCAGTATATTTATAATGATCAATATTTATTGGCTACCCAAGGCTACAGCTGAATGGCAAGCCTGTGAAATCAGAGCACTTAAAGAATCAAATATATTTCATGCTGTTATTTCTCATGCCATCCTCCTATTTGTATTTACTGATAAAACAAGAGCCATTTTATTGAAGACAGTGAAGCAAGAAAATTAAATGATGGTTCTTTTCAACTACTAGAATTGAAATGCAGTTGCAAGTTGGGTGCTTCAGAGGATGATGGTTGGGCTTCTTCCTACTTAGTGTTCTCGCAATGTCACGTGATATGTTGCGATGTATGCATTTCAGACTCCTCAGATAATCCCTTTTTTCTGATACTACCTAAATGAAACTTACCTCAAGTGCAGCTCCAGCTGTGAGTAAAGGAAGTGAATGAAAGCTCTCCTAGCCACAATTTCTGCATGGCAATCGTTGACCACAAGTCCTTGATCATTAAGATATTCTCCATTTAGGCATTTGGTGCCTGAAGAGAGCACAATAACCTGAGCCTGCTGAATGTCCATACCTATGGGGGAAAAAAACCAGCACACACAATCAAGAGCTCATCATAGCTTGAAATTATGTCTTCATGTAGCACCAGAGTCAGTTCTAAATGGGTGATTACTTGACTCTGGGGTTAAATAGTGATCATGGGTCTCATTGCATATGTATGGTGCAGTAATGTATGATCTGTTTCGATATGGACCACTAATTCCCACATCAAAGTCAACCAGAAAGTTTACTTTTTAAATCATTAACCAGAGATGATATATCCCACAAGGAAATAATAAAGACATTCCTGAAACCCAGATGAACAATAATCTTTCAGGAACTTTATTTTGTTGTTATCACTCCTGTTCCTTTTTTATGATAGAAACAGACATCCTGTATACTGTGAGCTTTCATTTCCTTGGCATTGGAATGACTAATAAAAAGTGGGTTTTAGAGTGTCTTTTTTTCAAAGAATCATGTATATTTTAATGCATAAATCTCTAGTTCAACTGTTGAACATGCATTTCTTTATAAAATGGGAACAGTTATCAGGGCTATGCCTCTCTGCTTTGCAATATGGCTGAAGATATCTTTGAGAGTGTCCACTGCAAATGGAATTTGCCAGTCCAGTGGGATATGAGATGCTGTGTTTCCTCCATAGTCACCTCTCTCTTTTCGGACAGTGCACTCCAGAGATATTCTGCACCAGTTGTAGCTTCCAAATAACTCTTTAAGGGAGCCTCATGTAGAGCATGTTGTGATAACCCAGCTCAGAGATGATGTGGTATCTACTATACTTGAAGGCCATGGGCATACCCCAAATTCCAGGCTCTTCTTGAGATCACATCTGGTGAAGTAGGACTAAGAGGCCAAGGTTCAAAGTCATAGCTAGGGAATAAACCATTTTCTTAGATCAAGCTACTTCACTGTTTTGTAAGAATAAAATCTGAGGTACACATTACTGCCGCAGTTGTTGCATACACAGGCAGGAGTTTTATATTTAAACATTTCACAAAGTCTAGTTAGAAAAAAGCATAGTATGTTTAGATGCCCCCAAGTATTAAGCTATAAATGGTTGAAAGTAATTTGCTCATAATCTCCTTCAGCAAGCAATTGCTTTGTATTATTCTTGTAAACTAGGTGAAGGATGCTGCAGCCTAAGTAAAACCCAAGTAATTAAACAACTATTAAAAAGAATTAATCTCAGGAGACGTGCTGCTTTAAAACTACATGCCCGTGCACTCACATACACATTTTTCTATTTTTATCTTGCTTCAACCCACTGTTAGCACAGGCATATTAAAAGACTCACTTTCTCCAAAATAATGGTAATTAAGCCTTGGAAACAGTATTTTATGCTTGTTATAGCCGTGATGCCTGTCTTATCTATTTGGGAAAGAATTTTGAGTATGTCTTTTGTAAATTTTTTCATGAAACAACTTAAGGGATGATGAGAGCAGATGGGAGGTGGATGTAAGGAAGAAACTAGGCAGAATGTCAATGAATTTAAAACTGAAGAGGGCTTTCAACATTGGACTGAATTCTTAGAAAAGTTTCTAATCAGATCACATTGCAAGAGAATGAAACCGAGATGGGACAAAAAACTCAGACATGAGCAGCAACATCCGCAATGACTCAAGCATAATTTCCTCCAAACTTGTCTGGGAAAAGCTAAGAGCAGCAGGCTAATAATTGCATTATTTTTATGGAAATATTGACATATGACAATGGTGCAAGAAGAACCAGGGAAAACACAGAAAGTAAATGTAGGCAGATAAGAAGATGGTTATTTTATTGGTTCCCTTAGAATGTTAGTGACTTAATTGTGCATCTGGAAAAAATATCTGCCCCCAGGGTATTTACCAGGTAGAGAATCCTAAAAAGGACTTACTGAACATAATTGTATGTAAAGAATGCATTCTATCAATCAGTTACAGAGCTTGCATCACACTTTTGACTTTTGGGATAAGATGGCAATTATAATCCCCATTGTGTAGGAAGGCTGATCAAAGTGGGTTTTTCCAGAATATATCTTCTTTTTAATTATGACTGATTTTTTTGCAAAACAGTGACAATCCCATATCTGTAAGAAGCTGAATTGCCATTCAAGGGTTAACTTTTTCTTTTTTTTGTTACCATCCATTCCCAGTAAACCCAACTGTCTGTAACCCTCCAGTGAACACTTGAGTAAATTGCAAAATGTTTTCAGATACTTGTAACCAGCTTTGCAAATGGAGTCTCAGCAATGCAAATGTCCTCAGCCATGCAAATAGACCATTATCAGCTTGGCAAATTTTTTAGCATTCCCATGTAACCTAATTTGCTCTCTCGCCTGATCTACTACTTTCAGCTCTTTTGCTCTACCACCTAATGAAGAGATCTGCGAACAGCGAGTTTATGTACAGCCATTGTTGCCGCTATGACAACACCATGCGTGGCCACATATGGCCATACCATACTGTATCCCTTAGTGGTTTTGGTGGTGTGTGTGTGTCCAAATTGGCAAGATGATGGAAAAAGCATTGTGATACAAGCTCTGCCCTACATGTGTTCAAAAGATGTAAGGCTTGCATACCACTCCTTAGTTTTAACCATTGTCATTTAGTTTTCTGTTAGGAAATGTAGCAATAGCTACAGCACTTAGACTTATATACCATTTCACAGTGCTTTACAGCTCTCTCTAAGCGGTTTACAGGGTCAGCATATTGCCCCCAACAATCTGGGTCCTCATTTTACCAACCTTGGAAGGATGGAAGGCTGAGTCAACCTTGAACCGGTGAGAATCGAACTGCTGAACTGCTAGCAGCCGGCAGTCAGCAGAAGTAATCTGCAGTGCTGCATTCTAACACTGTGCCAACATGGCTCTTGTAAATGTAAAGGTAAAAGGCTCACTGTCAACTGTGTCTGACTCTAGGGCAGGGTGCTTATTTCCTTTTCTTAGCTGAGGGAGTCAGTGTTTTCCGAAGACAATTTCCATGGTCATGTGGCCAGCATGGCTGAAGCACACAGAACGCTGTTACCCTCCCACCAAAGTGGTACCTATTTATCTACTTATATTTGCATGCTTTCAAACTACTGGGTGGGCAGGAGCTGAGGCAAGTAATGGGAGCTCACCCTGTTGCATGGAGTTCAGGTCTTGAACCTGAGCTGTCAGCTTTCCAGCTAACAAGTTTAGCGTCTTTAACCATTGAGCCATTGTACCTCAAGTATTAGAAAATGAAGCACTGAAATATATTGAAGAGCCTAGGACATTGAGGCAGAACATTCTCTCTATATTGTGAACTCTCTATGTATTGATTATTCAGCCAAAAATTCCTGAATAATTTAGGTATGGGAGAGCATTCTCTGACCTGCTTCAGCTCATGGGAAGAATGTTGGCATTAAACTGTAATAAACACACAAACAGGAAAAATATATACATTTTCTGGAGTCTCCAACCAGTTATTGAGTAATTGTTGCTTCAATTGAGTAAATGTTGCTTCAATCAAGCATTCATAGGCTCTTTTGGGATCACTGTTTCATAAAAACTCTGCAATTTTTTTATTGAGCAAAATAAAAGACTAAGCACAATGCCTTTCTATGGGAAGATAGGAAACTAATCAAATGGGAAAATAATGAAATTAATAAAACACTTTTCTTTGCAATAGATAACCAGTCTAGATATTATGGACTTTTTTTTTTTTTATTGAAATTTTTCAAAAGTTTTACAAATAAGAATCCACCCCCCCTCCCCAACCACCCCACCCCCCCCCCCCGACTTCCCAGAACTGAATATAGGATTATTTAACAAATATTTTAAAAATAACATTTGCAATTTGATATTATGGACTTTTAAAAATGTGTCTCCATAGATGTTCTAGATAGTTCCTAATTTGAGTATAAGAAAGAACTGCCTCTTTATATGGAATGCAGAAAAATATGTATTTTATGAAGCCTTTGAGATAAATCTGCTACTTCCACGTATAAGGCGAGGCAGAATTTGATTCAAGAGGTTCCCAGCTTGACTTGTGAAAATCCAGCAAATCCTGCTGCTGTTCTTTACTCCTTTCTCTGTATCAAAGATATACTCCTATAGTATATCAGCATCAAAACTGCTGATCAGAAAGAGTGTGGCAGACAATGCAAAGACAAAATAGAGTCCACTTTTATAATGGGAAAGAAAAACAATACTCTGAAGCTTTTAGTGCTGAGAAGCAACTCCCTAATTTTTTAGAAGAAGTGAGGACAATAATAGAAAGTTTGTGGGGCAGTATCTCATTCAGATGTGATATTAGAACATTCACTGTTCTAATATCTGAAAGACTCCTACAAAGAAGGGGGGATGTTTCAAACTATTTTCCAAAGCACCAAAAGACAAGACAAAAAACAATTGGAAGCTAACCAAGGAGAGAAGCAACCTAGAACTAGGGCAGGGGTAGGCAACCTTGGCTCTTTTATGACTTGTGGACTTCAACTCTCAGAATTCCTGAACCAGCCATGCAGGCTCAGGAATTCTGAGAGTTGAAGTCCGCGAGTCATAAAAGAGCCAAGGTTGCCTACCCCTGAACTAGGGAGAAATTTAGTAATGGTGAGAGCAATCAACCAATGGAATAGCTTGCCTTCAGAAGTTGTGGGTACTCCATCACTGTAGACTTTAAAAAAGAGGGAAAAAAGGCTTCACTTGTATTGTAATTCTATTTTTATTCCTTTTATGGCTTTTAATGTTGTAAGCTGCTCAAAGACATTTTGAAGCGAGATGGGTAGCAAGCAACTACTACTACTACTACTACTACTACTACTACTACTAATGAATAATGCCCTTCATCCACAAAGTGACATTGACAGACTTTATCTACCAAGGCAAATATGTGGGCATGGAATGCTGCAAGTACATCAGATGGTTGAAGAACAAAAAATGGCTTTGGAAGAATATCTGAAGGACAGTGATGAAGATGCACTGAAATTAGTATACCAGGAAGACTTACTGACTACTGGAGAGACCAAACTGGCCTACAAGAAAGACCAAATGAAGAACAGAATAGGGGCATGGGAAGA